GCCCGACTAGTCCCCGCCTAGGCACTAGGCGGTGGTCGGGCGTCCCAATTTTTGTCTAGGCGCTCCGACTAATTGGTTTGACGCCTAGGTGAATTAGTCGGCCGCCTATGGCGCCTAGTTGCCCGCCCAAAGCACCTAATCTCCGCCTAGGGCGTCTAGATTCATCAAACAATTTTTTTATTTTTAATTTTCTTTTTGTAAGAGATATATGTACCTTTAACTTTAATCACAAATATTAAGAAAGATACTTGTAAAAGTGGTTTCGGATTGTCCTTTCTTAGGGCTACAATTCGATATATGGTACGCTCAAAACGGATAACGGGTGAATGAGAAATTGTTTTTCGAAGTTTACCCGTTAGAAGCGAAAAAGGATGGGTTTCTAGTGTGTTAATTTCCCACACCGGAAAACACAAGGCATTTGCAACCCTTTATAAAGGGACTCCCCCCTTATGGAGTTAAGATTCCTAAGGGTAAAGGCTCTCTCCACGCGCGCAGGGGGGGTGCAATTCAAATCCCGAAATCGGAGAAGAAAAACCGCGGCTTGCGTGCGCGGGCGACCTGCGGACACGAATGTCGTCCAAAAATCTATCTCTCAAGAGATACGGTTAATTTTTGTTTTCTTCCCGAAACGTTTATTTTTTCTCAATGACAGAAGTGCCTAGCGGCAGAGACGCTCCGGACAGAAGGGCTCGACCAGAACACCTCGGTATGGTGTTCTGGTGGCTACGGACAGAAGGGCTCGACCAGAACACCTCGGTATGGTGTTCTGGTGGCTCCGGACAGAAGGGCTCGACCAGAACACCTCGGTATGGTGTTCTAGTGGCTCGGAACAGAAACCCTCGACCAGAACACCTCGGTATGGTGTTCTGGTGGCTCCGGACAGAAGGGCTCGACCAGAACACCTCGATATGGTGTTCCGGTGGCTCCGGACATAAACCCTCGACCAGAACACCTCGGTATGGTGTTCTGGTGGCTCCGGACAGAAACCCTCGACCAGAAAACCTCGGTGTATGATGTTCTGTTGGGAGGTCTTTTGGTCGCATTCTGAACCGTTACAGCAATAAATGCCCAACGTTCTTATCTTTTAATGCAGCGTTACATGGACAGTTCATGGACGATTCAATGCTCAACGGACTGGTCATTGATGTCCAACGTTCAGGTCCATTAATTCACCATTTACACACAACAAATCCTCCTATATAAAGGCTGGCAGGTGGTTTGCAACAACACACGATTTTACACGTTCTTGCATACACGAGCTCACGTATTTCTTCAGCTAAAAACACCTCCAGTCATTCTGAAAATTCCTGAGTGTTCAGTCTTTGTTCACGTTCGCTGGAACTCTTGTTTGTGTGCTCAAACATTAGTTTGTAGTCATCGTATCCTGGGAAACTATTGTTGCAACGCTCCTAGCACCGTGGGAGGCAACAAATACGTTTTAAGGACATCGTGTGTAGCACGAGCTTTGACTAATTCTGCTTCATCTCCTTTCTTGTTTTTCTCTAGTCATTGTATCTTAATTAATTTATTTTAATCAATTTTCTTTATTTTCCGAAACACACCCAACACACGTAACTTTTGAACTCATGCGCTGAATTGTGTAAGAATAAGAAAATGTAAGGTAGGAGTTACTTTCCGGGCTGTATTGACTGAAATAATTGTAGAAGATCATTTTAGCTATGTTTTCATGAAATTAGGATGTGTGATCACATCTTAGAGGGTAAAGTCCTTAATGGTATGGGCGTGGATCAAGAAATTTTAGTGCATTGACTATCCTTCACACCGTCTAAAGTTAGACTTCCATTTAAATTTTAAAGGAGATATATCCTTACAATGACTTCTTATGCAATGACGTTCGATAAAAGTCAATGTCAATCACTCTATCAGGGCATTCTCTTATAAGAAATCATGTTTTTAATCATGGACGATTGTATGTTCCCTTTCAAGAGTTATGAACCGTGCAAGCCTCAAAATCCTTATTCAAAACGAAGACAATCGTCGAAGTGGTGACACCATGAGCGTCATTTAAAAAAAGTGTTTCACAATCTGTAATTCTTACCATATATAACACCAACTTATAAATTACTATTTATTTTTGAACATTGTTCTCATGTATGTTATTTATCTTCATAATTTGACACACTTTTAACATAAAATGCCAATTAATTACGAACAAACTAAATTCATGCACCGTGCATCGCACGGGAGCTATACTAGTTTGATTTTAAGAGGTCTTCCTTCTATTCAGTTTTTTTGGAGCATGAGCCAAAACCTGGGAAATGTTTAGTCTATATAAACTTATATATGCACTACGTAGCTTTAAAATAGAGGACTTGTGCGGACTTGGTTTTTGCAGTTCATAATAAAATTGTTTAGTCTAATACTCAAGCCGTAGCTTAGCAAATACTTTGTATATTATCTCTTGAATGTAGTTGCTCTTCCAAGTAGTGTAAGTGTGTCTGGTTATCTTTTATGAGTTTATCAAGTCAATATATTTACATGTTCATACTTTTATGTGTCTAAGTGTAGGTATACATGTAGCTTTGTATAATATGAAGCTTAGATGATTTTCTCTACCTATATACTTATACTTAGTTCTTCATAATATGAATGCAAACATTGGGACATAGAACAACGTAACTGTCATAGAAACATGTAAACTTATACACCCTAATGTCATTCCTACAAGTGCACTCAGTTTAACTCGAGATTGTAACCTTGCTTCCTTTAAACCTCTTTACCACAGCTTATTTTTTACATAAAAGCAATACAATTCTTATACTTCATTTTCCTGCTCATGGACACCCCTAATCTTAACCTTTCATTTTAGATCCCTCCCTTTGAGCATCACGGTTCCCCCTCAACATCATATTCGACTCCATCATATTCATTCCTCACAGGTCTGGCTCCTTCCACTTAAACCCTATACGGCTACACCATCAATCAGCCCCTTTCAAGACCACATGATATGCGCTTCTGGAAAGAGAAATGGACGACAACCAGCGATGTTCCACCACCTAAAACCTACACGGCTACACCAGTAGTAACATATCACTCGTGGGGCCTTAGGTTAAGGTAGTGTATACATGTTCTCATTAATTTTCATTATATAACGAATAAAACACCGAAATTGGTTTTGATGAGGAAGAAGAGGCTATTTACCTAGAGGCTATTATGATCCTAATGATTTTATAAGCCGAGAAGCAAAAGGATGGGAGATATTTTTAATCTAATTGACCTATTAAAATTCAAAACTATGACTATCACATATACTAACTTACTAATGATCTGCTAGAACAATTGAACATGCTCTTTTTATAAATACTTTTAATCAAGCACTCCAGCCTAGCTGGTTGCGAGGTTACCGTGCCTAGTGGGAGGTCTTGAGTTCGAATCCCGCTAGGCACATAAGGGTTTGAAACTCAATAGAGTGAGTTTCAGCCCTGATTACTCCAGGCTCCCCCAGACCCCCCCTCCCCCAGACCCCCTGGAGTAAAAAATAATAATAATAATAATAAATACTTTTTCTAATTGACCTTCTGTTCTTTAACTTTTTAGATATCACTACTTTGAGTAGTTACTATGATGAACTTTTGAGAGACATCTGTTTTATTAAGATGCAAATTTTCAAGTGAAGACACGTTTTACTAAAAAGCACACACCGACACACCCGATCGGGTATGCCTTTTATTTTCACTCCGAATTCGATCGAGTAAGCCTATATAATCGAGAATCAAAAGAAAGTGAAGATGCTGGACCAAAAAGATACTTAGAAGAATCATTCAAGAAAAGGATCAAGTTCATGGCACCTGAAACTGTCCACTCAAAGTTCTAGATAGAGTTTTCTTTTCCTTCTTATTGTGTATTTGGGTTATTGAGGCTTAGCAAGAGTAGCTGCCTCGGGTTGGGTCAAGTGTGTGTGTGAGAGATTTGTGATAAAGCTGAGAGGCTCTCTACTCGCAAGGTAGAGACGCATAACTCTTCCTAGAGAGGATAGAGTTGGGGAGGCTCAAGGGTAGATTAGGAGAATAACTCTTGTAACTCTTTCAAGGCTTGTTCTAGTGAAGTTGTTGAAAATTCCTCCGAGGGAGGTCGAGGTTTTTTAATCCCTTTTGAGCCAAGGGATTTTTCCTCGTTAAATTCTTGTGCACTTTACTTTCTTGCAATTCCCTTATCCCACACTAGAACTCGGCGAAAAACTGTCACAGTTTCACACACATACCCCCACGGTTTAAAGAGCCCTTCCTTTTTCTTAAAGATATCTCTTTCAAAAATATTCTTTCCATACTTAAAAAATCAAGTTATGTGAATGCCATAGTAGGCCATTTAACGAGAGTCATGCAACATTCCATAAAAAACATATTTATATTTCTGCATGGTTAGTCATAACGAGTAGCCACATATGTTCATAGACCAGGTCTATCCAGCACATAGATCACATATGTTTTATAGACCCGTTCCATTCTTTGTTCCTGGACAACATATTCAACAAATTCGTTCCATCCTTTGTTCCTGTATGGTTAGTCATCAACAAAACAACATATTCAACACTGCATCACTACTAGGAATAGAGCCATTAGTAAGGAACCAATACTCTATCTAAACCATAAATATTCCTTTCTAAATTGGTTAGTAAGGAACTTGGAAAGGAATGCCATTCCTCTCTAAAACCTCCCTCTCTAAATTTTTGTTCCTACCTAAATTCCTTTCTAATATTGTAGGCTTTCAAAAAGTATTAAATCCTTACGGAGGAAATGGTTCCTTTCAAAATTCTTACCCTACCAGATGTATTATAACTTGATAGGAAATATTTCCTTTCAATTTTTTTTTTACTTTGTTTGTTCAGAGAGGAAAAAGTTCCTTTCAAAAGTTTTACTTTATTCAACTGTAATAAGAAAATTTAATCTAAAACAATTACATTGAAAGGAATTTCATTCCTGACAACTTCTAAAAACACATATCAATACTACACAGTACACACGCTCATACATATATTACCAATCAGATCCCTATCAAAGCATTTATCAAATACCAGAATTTAAATTATACCAACATACGAAGTACATGATAGCAATTGCATACTTTAACCAAAAGAAATCCAAACTGCATAATTTAACCAAAAGAAATCCAAAATACAGTGATGAAGTCATTCTTGAAGACCTTAAAAAGCACATACTGAATCACAAAAACTAAATATATTGATTTGAAATACAAAGACTAAACATGTTCATCTTCCTCGTCTTGACATCCATTGTCTTCCTGATTCGGGCCATTATTCTTGGTATTGAATAGTTGTGAAGTTTGTGGCATTAACATACTCATGAAAGGTCCGAATTGAGATTGTTGAGGAAGAACATTGATGTAACTAGGTTGTTGGTGAGGAAGAAAACCCATGATTGAACTGTGATGCATACTTTGGGATGGAAACACATTTGTAAAGGTACCTTGCGGTGATTGTTGACACATATTCATAGAGCGCTGCATTTTTTCAATAATGACTGATGCAGATTCCTTGAACTGTATCAACTCTTTGTTTGATTGTATCAGCTCTTTGTTGGATTCTATCAGCTCTTTGTGGGCCTTTTCAACTTCAGCCAAACGATGTTTCCATACTGTGTCATCATATGAGGGTTGTGAAGGAACTTCAGTAGTAGACGTACTTGGGAAGTAGTAATCGCTGGCAGAACCAAAACCTGAAACTTTTCCGCCCCTTTTATGTCCGCCAGCAGCCTCTAACAGCAATTCTTTAGAATTGGCATTTGTGTCTTTTGACTTCAGCTCCTCATAGGATTCCTGAACATGAAATATAATATCAAAAAAAATTATTAAGGACTACAAAATGTCAGTAGAACAATATAGTGTCAATTCATCACTAAATAAATTACTTGAGGGACAAAGACATAAGAAATACACTAGTGGATACAAATTTAATACCTGCGGTATCACTCCAAATGGATTAGTACTCCAACCAACAATGAACACACATTCCGCACAATCGCATTAGTTGTTATCACAATAAATAGCAATAATATGGTTATTAGCAAATTACAACAATGGTTAAAGTCTGCATCTTATTTGTAAAATGTGGAAATAATAATGATAAGTCATTACTTCATTAAAATACAGTGTATTTAATAAATCTACACAATACTATAATACACTCACATAGACTTGCTTAGCTTTGGGGGTGACAAATGAACCATCTTTTTTCTTCGTGTGTGTTTGTAAATACATCTTATCTGGTTCTGCAGACAGACCATGTTTTTCCTCCTAAATACAAATTTAGTTCGAATAATTATTCAAAAGTGAGTTAATGTTTATAAAACAAAAGTAAAGTGAATTTTTATAAAAGGTAGACTTACATATCTTCGAATGTGTTCTGTAATGGGAATGGAACCCCCCGTGTGCAAGGTGATTCCAACATCAGAATTTCTATTTTTCTGATTAGTTTCACACTTTTGTATGTACTTTATGTCACCCCATTTGACAAGCAATTGAGTCCATAGTGACTTGATTATCCACTTTGGCTGTTTTTTTGACTTTCGAACAGCAGACAGAGCCCGTGAAAGCCCAGCAGAACCTTTACTATTAAAGTTTTTTTGGATGCGATATTCATGTTCCGGCCTCCATGTATACCTTTCCTACAAATATCATTTTACAAGGAGAACAAAAACATCGACGCTTTATTCTCAAACGAATTAAATTGAGTATTTAAATTACTTGATGTAATAGGAAGTTTATAAATACAAAAATAATACCTTAAATAAATTAAGCCAAATATTTTGTAATTCAGGCGAGGCTTCTTTATAAGAGAGAATTGGCTCATCAAATTTTTTCTTAAGGCATGGCATAACATATCTTTTTGCCGAGCATGGAATGAATCTGTTGCAGCATTAAACAAGTCATAAGCATCACTGTTTACCATTTCAGGCAGAAATAAACATGACAATAAAGTAGAATTAATTATAAAAACGTATTTATATTAAGTAGAATAAATTATAAATACGTATTTATGTTACCCGGATTTCCCATCAGGAACGATCTCTTTCTTAACTTCTGAGGGTGGGGATTGGTTTGGCTCACTCAAGGTAGATGTGCTATTTGGAGATTCCGGTTGACTCGATAGAGAAGCGCTTGAAGAACTTGTATTATTAGGTGAAGATGAGTTGAATGGTCTGCCCTCACGTGGAAGCCATAAATGTCCTGTATTAAGAGGCGGTGGCAAGGCTAGTTGGCTGAAAGTGTTCCCAGTTTGTCTCTCATTAGTAGTACGAACCATCTGTTCTACAAATGAGATTGAAACCCAATAAAACACTGGTAATTGTAGCACCAACGCCAAATAATTTTAGGAGGTGTTGAGGTCATGCAGATATGGAATTTGTTTATTTTAAAACTAAATAATAATAATTAGCTACCAAACTGATAGCATTGAAACAATTTTTTGGAGCAGATTGCCTTACGAAACAATCAGTTATTCCCAATTTGAATTGTGACATAATTTTCTAAACTAGAGTAAATATTAATTTCAAAAATAATTATTTCCCATTTTCAATTCTGAATCCTGTTTCACTTAACAATCAAGTATTTCCCATTTTATCTCCCTATTTTTACATCAGTGTCATCATTTGATTAATAGAGAAAGAAAATATGCTCTCTTGATATGTCGTGGAAGCTATTTTGTAATTCATGTACACAGTCAACTACAAAAGAAATTATTTCACTAGCTAAGCATTCCCTAAATACATCCTTGAAAACAAATGTGAATCTTGAATACCTGAATACAGTTTCCCTAAATCCTACATCAAAGTTCTGTGTGCTTTAAAACTAATCTAAGAAATGATTATTTTCAGAAAACGTAAAGCAAAGTTAAAATTAAAAAATATAACAAGTCCACACTAAACAATTATACATACTACAACATACGGAGTAGATAAACTAATAGCATTATACTTCAATAAAACACAATTTAATTGCAGCCCTATCAATCATATCACATCATACATGGATAGAATGAAAACCAATAGGGCAAAACCAAAGAGGGTTTGAACACTTCTCTGTTAGGGAGTAAGGGTTACAGGGAGTGATTACCCATTCCACAGATATATTAGAAAAGCTAGAAAGTGTTTAGTAAAATTTGCCCACAGACTCCACCTCTATCCATGGGAAATCCCTAGTTGCTGTCAATGTCATCCAAATCAAACATATAATTTTGTAAAACCTTGAATAAAATAGTCCAATAGCCAAAAGTGAGTCGAGAAATGACGGAAGAAAACATTTGGCCGGCTAAATTAATTGGGAGGGAAATAATTGGGGAAACTAATAAAATTGGACGGCTGTGGAGTGAGTCGAGAAAGAGTAAAGCTGCAGCGGAAGAATCAGAAAACGAAAACATACCTTCCAGCTATGGAGTTAGTCGAGAAAGAGTAAAGCTGCAGCGGCTGGTGCTCTGGTGCTTCCAAAGAATAGCAAGTGTAATACGGAATAAAACCTAGCTACAATTATTGGGGAGGGAAATAATTGGGGAGGGAAATAATTGGGGAAACTAAAAAGATTGGAGGGAAGTTTTTCAATAATTTCATTTTGGGAGGGAGGATGTACGGAGTGAAATTTTAGGAGGGGATGAGGTATTGCGGATTTTTTTGGGGGAAGTTGTTTATTTTCAAAATAAATAACAATAATTAGATACCAAATCAATGAAATAGCATAAATTTGAGACTAGATTTTTTTACACTTGATATTTTCTTTTGGACTGAAATTTTGTTGTCTTATATGGTGTAGTTTGGTCTGTTTAAGTCTGGTCTGGTATGACAAAATATACATATATCAGACATTTATCAAATCACACAAGACTTAGACATGTCAGATCCGACTAGGACCATGAAATCTGTATCCAAATGACAACATCCTTAGGAGCGCTTATGTTCATCTTTTTTTATCAATGAATGTTTATTCTTATTTTATTCAGATGAGATTGTATCATATCAGAAAAATAAAGTAAAATTAATGACAAATATTTTTTTATCCTTCTTCTTCCTCTTCTTCCAGATCTTCTTCTGGTTCTTCTTCCAGCTCCTCCTCCTCCTCCTCCTCCTCCTCCTCCTCCTCCTCCTCTTCTTCTTCTTCATTTGTTGCCTCTTCCGCGTCAATCTCATAGACTTGTGAATAATCCACTAGAGGATCAACAACATCATTTTCCAAAGTAGTAATGTTCCTGTTATGTGAAGGAATTTCAGATTGTTGAAATGCGGAATTTAATTTATACTGATCGTCGAATGTCCCTCTTGGTCTAGTTGTAAAGACAACCCACCAGTTATTTTTATTACTTATGCCTCGGGGATACGGGGCATAATATACCTGACTCGCATTATGTGCAAAGATAAATGGGTCAAATTTATGATATCTTCGGTTGCGTTGCACTTCTACAAGTCCATATGTTGGATCAACTCTAGTACCACGGTTAGGAGACGTATCAAACCACTCACAATTAAAGAGCACCACCTTTTTTACTGGGAAATTTGGATATGACATTTCAACAATCTCATTAATCATTCCATAAAAATTATCTTCAACATTTCCACAATTTGTGCCTTTGATGGAAACTCCACAATTCATGGTGGATCGCCCTTCGCAATGTGCATGACATCAAGATTGTGTCGGATAAGATTATCTTTCCAATATGGTAGGTCCCAAAATATACTCCTTTTGGTCCAATTGTGTGTTTCCCCATATCCCGGCATCTTTAAATTGGGCTGTTCGGTGATCTTTGGAATGTATGACACACGCTCCAACACTTCTTCACCACACAATAGACAAGGAGGATATGACTTTTCAACCCTTCCTTTTAGAAAATCGTTTTTGTTTTTCCTAAAAGGATGATTCATAGACAAGAATTGGCGATGACAATCAAACCATGAATGTTTTCCTCCATTCTTTAACCAAAAAGCTTGTGTGGATTCCATACAATATGGACAAGATAATTTCCCTGCAGTTTGCCAACCTGATAGCATCCCATACGCCGGAAAGTCACTTATTGTCCACATTAAAGATGCCTTCATCACAAAGTTTTGCTTTAACGACACATCATAAGTGACAACCCCTGTTTCCCACAAAGATTTCAATTCATCGATTAGTGGCTGTAAGTATACATCGATTTGAGCCTTTGGATTATTTTTACCAGGAATTATAGAACTCAAAAACATATACGGGGTTGTCATACACATTGACGGTGGAAGGTTGTACACAGTAACGATTATGGGCCAACACGAATATGACTTAGAGGACATACCAAAAGGAGAGAAGCCATCCGAACACAAGCCGAGCCTGACATTACGTGGTTCTGAAGCAAATTCGGGATAGGTTTTATCAAAATGTTTCCATGCTTCACCGTCTGATGGATGACACATCATGCCGATGTCACGATGATTTTCAGCATGCCACCTCATATGCTTAGCTGAGCTCGGCGATGCATATAACCTTTGAAGTCTTGGAATTAGAGGTAAGTAATGCATCCTTTTCCGAGGAACTTTTGACTGGTGTTTTGTACTTTCTTTGTAACGTGGCTCACCGCAAAATTTGCATTGTCCCAATTCAATATCCTCTTTGTAATACAACATGCAACCGTTAATACAACAATCAATTTTCACATGACCGAGACCAAGTTTAGAGACCAATTTCTCAGCTTGATAAAAATTGGACGGTACCTTATTTGGTAGTGGCATTGCTCGACTACATGCATCTAACATCTCATCCATGGCCTTTTGTGCAATGTTATATGATGATTTTATACTCATCATCTTCAATGTAAATGATAATTCAGTATCTGTTGTACATCCTGGCCATAATGGTTGTCGTGCAGAATCGAGTAACTCATAAAATTTTTGTGCACTTTCATGTGGCCCTTCAAAATCTCCATTTTGATGAGTAGGTGTTGAGCTCATCCCAAAATTATCATGAACCATTGTTTCGTACATGTTATTCCCTTCACCCCCCATATGTGACACATCATTCACGCTTTGAGTGAAAAATGGGACCTCTTCCCCATGACAAGTCCAGTGCCAATAGTTTGATTCGAACCCCCACTTATAAAGGTCGACTTTTACATCTTTGGGATTCTTGTAGCATTGATTTCTACATTTGGTACACGGGCATCTAATTACACCGTTCTCAACAAACTCCGCTTGTGCGCAAGCAAAATTCACAAATTGATCTACTCCAACCTTAAATTCATCTGTCAATCCCTTTCTTCCAGGTATGACTCGATTATACATCCAAAGACGTTCATTTCTCAGATCCATTTTAATCCTGGAATTAAAAAACATTATTGTATGTTATTATGATTATAATTAGTATTACAATTTCAGAATGTTCATTGCCCTAATAACTATAAATTTAACTTCATGCAACCCACACTATTGTACGTCTACTCTTTTTTTATCAATATAAACCAATTAGTGAACACAATCATTAAAAAATTATAGGCAATACATGTTGACATTGATTACAATATAGCCAATATCTAATTATAGAAAGGAAATTAATATGTAGTAGTAATCACAATTCAGCAGAATAGATTACAGAATAATTAATCTTTTTTTGGTAAATACAAAATAATTAATCTTTAATAATAGTGAATATAAATAATATAATAATTATTATTAGGATGTTTTTTACTTGGGCTGTTTTCAGTCCCAAACCAAATAAGACCTTTGTTAAAAAGACCATACAGATCCAGACCATTTTACACCAGATCAGGACAGACCAGTCTTAAACAGACTAGACCAGACCAACAAATTTCGGTGCAAGTAAAAACATCTTAAATGAATGAGTAACACCTTGCAAAATAATAAACCAGTAACACTTTAGTTTACGAAAATGACAAAAATTTAATCGTAATAGCACTAGCTACCTAAATATACAGAAAATGCTTTATTAGTGTAGTATAATTATCATTGACTTTATATGAGGACAATAAATAAAAATTGTATAAAACGGCCAAAGTAAATACATAAAATTCTACTCCCTCTGTAACAAAAAAATTTCCTAGATTCTTTTTTGTCCTTAACAAAAAAAACTTCTTATTTTTAAATCTTCCTATCATACCCTCAATAATTTTGAAAATAATACACTATTACAACTACTTTTTTTTTTATTTATCCTACATTTCATCACATTATTCTACTATCTTCCTATCATACAACAACAACAACAACATCATCCAAGCATTAGTCCCAAAAGATATTGAGACTATCTTCCTATTATACCTTCAATAATTCATATATTCTTTCACTATTCTTAATTTACCTACTTTTGAAAAGGTTTTTTTAGCTACGGAAGGAGTATAAATTAAGTTTTACAAAAGGTAATTAATCTGACCCCTTAACTTTCAAAGTAATCATGAACCAGTTTTTTTTTTTTTTGAATGAACCGTTATAGGATTATACAAACAAAATATAAATCCAATAATTGAACTAACCTTATCGAAGGAGAAACATGAGCTCCAATAATTGTGCATCCCAGAAACAAATGGTTGCAGAAAAGCTTTTGATTCCTAGCTATTCTATCCGAAAGTGAGATATGGATCGGAGGAAATAAACACACGGAGTTTTATCAGTAAAAAATTGATGACTTAGCTGGTGAGAGTTATTACATGGAGTAAATGTATAATAAAAGGAGTGGGTTTTAGGTAGAAAAAACGGATGGGTCTTTACAGAGTGGGTCAACTATGTCTACATATTCCTTCCTAAAGTTTTGAGAGGGACATTTTCCTTTCTAATGGAATTAATAATTTTATTTATTTTATAATATAACAGAAAGGAAACAAGGTTCCTATGTAATGAGTCAAATTCCTTCCTAATTTAATTTATCCTCTATCTTAGCAGGTACCTTTCAAAATTCCTATCTAAATTAGATACAAACAATTTTCCCTCTCAAAGTCCTCTCTAATCCCTCCTTTTCTAGTAGTGCATGTAGCCAAGTGGTGTCTATCATCAAGTGTTTCAGCTGCAATACGATCAGTAGAGAATATCAGGTGGACATACAGAACTTCGGATGTAATGATGTGTTTAGGTTTCCATTGGACGTAGTCTACAAGTGGTTCACCGAATGCATTCCCTGCTGATCTGCATGTATCCATTCGATCTCCACTTTGTAGTTTATCCATTATTATGTTTTTCAAGTTCATGTTTCACACATACAATTGTTATCCTGGCCTATATGGTCTATATATTATACATAGTACGTATTACTTCATTCCTACTATAAAAGCAACTCATAATGTCTTGTTTAATTATGGGAATTCATTCCCAATTAAATTGAGGTCTCTCTTCCCAAAAAACACAGGACACATGTTTCCCATAGTTGATGAGGACCACAGATCTATCACACTCTCTTGTGAGAGTGTGAGACTATGAGTTTATTTGGTAACATTAAAATTGCTTGAATGAATCAGTTGATTTTGCTGAAATTATTGAAGTTCTGGTTGAAGCGATTGAATTAGTTGAATCTACTGAATTATGAAAAAAAATTAATTTGCTGAAGTTCTAGTTCAACAATATTTAAAACAAATCTCATACATTTTAAATAAAATATAGTCAAAATATAATACTTCCTTCGTTCTTAAATAAGTGCAACGGTCAACATTTCACATTTGCGGAGGCACAACTTTGACCATGAATATAACTCTCTATTAATAAAAATAATTAAATAAATCAGATTTTGAAAATATACAATGAGGTAAATTTATGCGGGGTCAAAGATATATTTACTTGTATACTTGAGAAATTTATGTTGATGTTATATCAAAAAAAATATCTCAATACATCAATGGATAAAATGTAGTCAAAGTAGAACATGTGAATAGTGTAAAATTTTGTATGTTGAACTTATTAATTATGTGAATAATGTGAAAATTTTGACGTTGCCAAAGGAAACGGATCATACTTCGTATTAATTATGATTATTATGAACTGACCAATGATATTTGAACAAAAAAAAGCCACTTCAACTCTTATAAATTAGGTGCGTGTTTCAACGTCCTCTATTCGAGCTAGGGGTGGACTCGGCCGGCCGGGCGGCCCGATCCGGAACCGTCCCGGCCCGGTTACTGTTTGGCCCGGCCCGGCCCGGGGCCCGGTGGGTCTAGCGGTTCGGTTTGGCCCGGCCCGGGTGATGGGCGGTCCGGGCTCGGGCCCTGCTTTAGGCGAACCGGCCCTGCCGGTTCGGGCCCGGTCCGGGCCGGATTTTATTTTATTTTTTTTGAAATTTTTTTAAGTTTTGGGTTGGATTAGGTATTTTGGGCCATTTGAGGTGGTTTGGGGTTGAGGGGGAGGGGTAGGGGGTTAAATAGGAGAACCAAAAAAAAAAAGGACCGGTTTGGCCCGGAACCGGAACCGGAACCGGCCACCGGCGGTTCGGGCTCGGTGACGTGCACTTTGTCGCGGTGTGCACTCAAAATAATAATACAATACGACACTAATACGTAGTATAGTGTAGTAAGGTTCGTATCTACAGGGAAAGGAACACTTCTCTTCTTATAAAACTAGAAATAAGTAACAAGGGGGGTTTTTATGATTGGTTTATGAACTTAAATTATGTTTAAACACAAAGATGAACGAGTTATGTGGTTTACTTTAATAGAGATGGAGGCTTGGTTTTGCTTTTATCCACTTAATGAAATGTTCGTCGATCCCGGTTATATCTTTAACTATCTTCCTCTCGAATACTCAATCGAGGAGTATATCCAGTTCATCGAGGGTAGTTATTAATAACGAGATGCGTTCATTAATAAAACTTACTATCGAGTCAATATAGAACAAGCGCCGTATATTAACTTGATAGTAGCAATAAACTTAAGATGAAAACGATTGAGATTGATAACCTCAACACAAGCGGTTTATTGGTTAATCAATGTAATTAATTACCCTTAGATTATTAACCATGAGATGCATGCATTAATAATCCAAGTTTACTACCGTGAAAGGACCGAATTAATAACAAGCGTATTAATCGACCGATTCTAGTATTAATTAATATATGAAACAAAACTAGTTGATCTTTTAAGTAATGTTCAAAATATTAATACGAAATATGAATAGGAATTAATTAATACTCAAGAAAGAATATTAAAGAAGATGAATCCTACTATAGTTAATATCAAGATGTTAACTAATTGTCATCTTAGTAACACTCCCCGATATTAACGTAGAGGAAGAAATAACTATTACTATAACTAATGTCAAGATGTTAACTAATTGTCATCTTAGTAACACTCCCCAACATTGATATAGAAATAGTATTTAAAGGAAGAATTAATATTCATGGAAGAAGATTAAAGATAATAACTCACAACTTACAAATTCATTAAGCTTCAAAGGAGCAAAACCAAGATGGAAGAGTTTAGCTCCTCATTTGGAGACTAAACATGATAAAAATATAAAGAAAGTACTTAACTAAACTGAGCTAAAGAGTATATGTGAATTGGTGATTTATTGTGGAGGAAATGGGGTGTATTTATAGGCTTTTTAGGCCTGCAGGGTCGTGTACCCGATCGGGTATATAGGGTACTCGACCGGGCCTTCAGTTGCTTCGCGGAAGCTGGAAAAACATGGACATACCCGATCGGGTATGTCGGCTACCCGATCGGGTATAGACACTCGATCGTGGTTAAAATCTTCCCTGCACGTTGCCTTGTTCGCAGATTTATCCGATTTGATTATTCAGCAACTTACCCGATCGAGTATAGGTCATACCCGACCGGGTACAAGACCAAAAATCAGGATCTTTATTTTTTTCTTGGAGTTTTTGCACCTTCTTTCCACTTGTGATGTTCACCATTGGTTCCTAAAGTGTTCTTGGACCTGTGTGAGCTCAGAATGAACCTAATCTAAACAAATTACAAATATTTTACAGACTAAACTATTACACCAAAAGTGTGTAATTTCCAAAGTAATAATCAATCTAAACTAATTAAAAATACAAACATAAACATGGAAATTACATGAATGTCACTCGGGCCCCAATTTTCTGGCCCGAGGCCCGGCCGGGCCCAGGCCCGAACCGGGCCCGAACCGGCCCGAGTCCACCCATAATTCGAGCTATAAATGAGGAGCAAGTATGGTTTAAGAGTTATCCCATATTCCCCCGCCGTCCTTGTTCTATTTTGGCCATTTGTAATGGAAAATATGAACCTTTTCCATCCATATGATTGTACACAAACTGTGCTTCACTAGTCCATGATGTTCTTTTAAATTACTCCCTCTGTCCCTAAATTTACTTCCATTTCGCTTTTCGAGAGTCAACTTAAATCATTCTTAAACTCTTACTTTTTGTATCAAAACTTTATGAAAATTGATTTTTTTTGTGCAGGCTTTGTAGCGGGTTTAATGTAGTTTCTGAATATGTAAATTTTATTTACTAAAAATAATTCGAGTTTTCACAGGGATCATTTAACTTTATCGTCGGTCAACCTTCGTAATCCGCAATCGGAAGAACATTCAGGGACGGAGGGAGTAACTTCTACGGAGTATTATACTAGCCGATATTACCTAAATAACACTTCGTATTTAATTGGGAACACCCCCATATATACTTCCATCAATCCAAGTAGAAAAATAATAATGCAAGAGGTTTGTACAACAAGTGAAAATCATGACTACACGAGAATTGAATTCTAAAGGGAAAACACATGAAACTAAAAACCCTTTTGGTTTACTTGACTATTTTGACCATTCATTATCCTTCCTCCAATTTTTGGGCACTTCTTTGGTGATTGACGTGCACTTTGTCGTAGTGTGCACTCAAAATAATAATACAATACAACACTTATACGTAGTATAGCGTAGTAAGGTTCGTATCCGCAGGGAAAGGAATACTTCTCTTTTTATAAACTAATAAATAAAGGGGGGGTTTTGATTGAATGATTTAATTAAAATTGAACACGAAGATGAACGAGTTATGTGGTTTAATTAATGAGAAGAAGACTTGGCTTTGCTTTTATCCACTTAATGAAATGTTCGTCGATCCCGGTTACATCTTTAACTATCTTCCTCTCGAATACTCAATCGAGGAGTATATCCAGTTCATCGAGGGTAGTTATTGATAACGAGAAGCGTTCATTAATAAAACTTACTATCGAGTCAATATAGAACAAGCGCCGTATATTAACTTGATAGTAGCAATAAACTTAAGATGAAAACGACTGAGATTGATAACCTCAACACAAGCGGTTTATTGGTTTAATCAATATAATTAATTCCCCTTAGATTATTAACCATGAGATGCATGCATTAATAATCCAAGTTTACTACCATGAAAGGACCGAATTAATAACAAGCGTATTAATCGACCCCGATTCTAGTATTAATTAATATATGAAACAAAACTAGTTGATTCTTTTAGTAATGTTCAAAATATTAATATGAAATATGAATAGGAATTAATTAATACTCAAGAAAGAATATTAAAGAAGATGAATCCTACTATAGTTAATATCAAGATTTTAACTAATTGTCATCTTAGTAACACTCCCCAATATTAACGTAGAGGAAGAAATAATTATTACTATA